GATAGATAGATAGATAGATAGATAGATAGATAGATAGATAGATAGATAGATAGATAGATTTGTACTGTTGAGTAGGGTCTAACTCATAGCAACGGTGCACAAGGTTTCCAAGTAGCAGCTGGTGAGTTTGAACTGCCAACCTTGTGGTTCAAACCTACATTATGGTTCAGTGCTTTATCCCACAAGGCCAATTTCAAAGTGAATTGTTTTATTATTTACTTATCTAAAAATATATATTCTAACTTACGATGTTCTTGAATTAAATCTCCCCCTGGTGCTTTTTACCACCTCACTGAACACTGAGAAACAATCTGAAGTGACAAGTCCTATAGATGATGCAGGGATACATACCATGAACTGCTCTGGAGTTTTGTCACAGATGATTCCAAATGCTAATGCTCACTAAAAACTCACATCTTGTTGAAATGTCTTAATAGTATTCTATCACCATGCCTTTATAAATTAATACTGTAACATAAAGCATCATTTTAAATACAGTGAATGGAAACCAAATTGACTACTGTGTAATGAATGCACTAACTGTAAGGGAAAGGCTTACTTCAGTCTCTAAATAGATCTTCACATACACCTTTTTTAAGCAAATAAAATGCCTCACTTCATACCCTCTCTTCATCCAGCAGATTGAGTGTGATTATATGTATCATGTAGTGTTTTAGCAACGATTCTGTTCTGAGTCTTTCTCTTCCAAGGCTATTCTCAAACAAACCCTGAAATTATCTTCAAGTTTTTATTTGCCCAGTTGATCACACTTTTTATTTTACGTCAAATGCCAATACTGTTTTTTTCAATTGAAATATTTTTATTTTAAAACTTAATGTGAATGGTTATAAATAGTCCTGTCAAAATAATGGCTTTATGTTGTTGCTTTAAATAGGACATCCTGGAATCCTGGTGTGGTGCTACAGGATACGCACTAGACTATAAACTGCAAAGTTGGGTTCAAACCCACCAGCCACTCCTCAGAAACGTTATACAGGGTAGCTATAAGTTGGAACCGACTCAATAGCCCTTAACAAAAACAACAAAGGACATCCTACAGCACTCCTCTATGCACTGAGCTGCTAGCCATAAGATTAGCAGTTCAAATCTACCAGTTGTTCCACGGGAATAAATGAGGCTTTCTGCTCCCATGAAGTTTTTGGTTTTTTTTAATGTTTTATTGTGAATTATATGATAGTTTACATGGGAGAACTTTTTTACATTCATTCCATCGTATATCATCTCATTGCCATGGTTCCAATCCCCTCCATGTATCCCATGAGGATTTTGTTGTTTTTAGTGCCTTTGAGTCCATTCCAACTCATAGTAACCCTGTATAGGGTTTCCAAGGATTGGCTGGTGAGCTTGAGGTTCAAACTGACCTTGCAGTCCAGTGCATTAACCCACAGCGCCACACCAGGACTACCCATAAAGACTTACAGCCTAGGAAACCCTGTATACAGAGTTACTAGGAATCGAAACCAATTCCACTATACACATCACCATCAACATTCTATTAACAATGTAGCTGTTTAATATTGATTAACTTGCCTAGGTCAGGATTCTTTTAGCTTCTTTCCTATCAAGTTTACTGCAGGAAGTAGCAAGTACAACACCACATTTATGATAACTTGATTTCATGCTATACATTTTCTTCAATATCTTGGCATTTTCACTTCTATCTGAAAGCTCATATATTTATTTATTGGCTGAAGAGATGCTTGAACTACCACTAATCCATATTTACCATTTATGATAAAATCATTTAATTATAAAAACTACAGTTTTCACTATCACCATGTCTTTAGGAATCACTGCTTCCTAGAAACAAAATATATGAGCTTGACCAACCAGGGCTTCCAAATGACACAGTAATTGCTCTCATAAATAAGGGCTGTATATGTCCTGCTATGAAAATATAGGATAAACACTATACTGCTAACCAGAAGGTCGGCAGTTCAAATGCATCAACCACTCCATGGAAACCCTATGCAGAGTCACTAAGAGTTGGAAGCAACTTGATGGCACTTAACACCAATGCACTGCATGGTAACTAAGTCTGCCTGTATATTCACCTGAGTAAGAAACACCTGTGCCCTGCTCCAAGCTGGTGAAACACCATGCTGCTGTCAGTGTGTGCTGCCCTCCAGAATCCTGCCTGTCGTCTTATCTCCTGCATCAGGCTCCTGAAACTGTCCAGAAGGACTGTAGCAGGGCTTTGTAGAGCAACACACATTCAAGGCAGTGTTGTCAGCCACTGTATTTGAGCAGGATACAACTGCTTGTTTCCTGTTGTTATTAAATGTTGTCGAAAAGGTTCTGACTCATAGTGACCCTGAATAGGGTTTCCGAGACTATAAAACTTTTCGGGAGCAGAAAGCCTCATCTTTCTCCCACGGAACGGCTAGTGGACTCAAACCGCCTACCTTGTGGTTCGCAGTCCAGTACTTATTGTACAGAAACACCAAGCTCCATTTATTTCCTACATGGGTCAAAACAGCATGGACAACAGATCCGGTTGCTGTGCAATGTGTACAAAGCCCTTGTTTATGACGACAATTAATGAAAATAATTGAAATTGATTGGAGGCTGGTCTGTCTAATAAGACAACATATGCTATTGACAAAGTAACATAACAGTATTTTCAGAAACTAGGTGGGCAGGTCTCCCAGTCTCAATGATAAATCATGTTCTAGTTTGTCCCCTCCACGGACCAGCAGTGAAAGTCTGTATCACTGGTGGATTATATTTGCTTTGATGTTTTCTATATTCACTGTAATAACTCTCCCTCCTTATGGTGATGAAACTATCACCACCACTGGGAACATCAATTACGCAAAACCATCAAATCTTCCAATTATTCACTGCAAATAAGAATTCCCACTCTAGAATTTCAGACTACTGCCATAAGCAAAAACATGATTCCCCTTCTAAGTCAATATGGCTTGTCACCCAACTTCCTAGTAGCACCAGAATTTATAAATTTCCCATTAAAAAACAGTCCTATAAGCTTGGTTTCAGGAAGGATGCTCTATCTCATCATTGATGATGTTGTGATGTCAAGTCAGTCCCGACTCATGGTGACCCTGTATAGGATTTCCGAGAGCCGACCTAGCTTAGCAATCCAATGCTTATGCTAGCTACAGTGCTATTCATTATCACTATAAAAAGTTTTTATAAAACCTCTAGGGTATTCATAGTCCAGGTGGAATAATAAAGCTATGGACAAAAAATACATATATAAAATCTAAGGACATAAAATTTCCTTAATTTTCCTAGAGAAAGATGTGGTACTTATGGCTTCCATTTAGAAATGTTTATGTTCCCAATTTAATGATATTAGATAACCAGAGAAGTTTAAGAAATTATCATAAGAACTGGGAAATAGAAGTGACTTTAAATTTTAAAAGTTTTAGTCATCACAAAGGAAAAAAGACATGACTTCATAAGCCAAGTAATGACAGATCATTAATTTCCTCTGAGAAATAAAAAGGGTGAAAAATCAAACATCCAAGTACAATTTTATACCCTAACAGTCTGATTCCATATAAAGAGAAAATGAACAAAAATTCTAATAAGAATTCATCTCAATTGTCAAGAAAAAATGATCACCTTTGAATTTATATTGTTACACAGAGCAATGCACAAACCATAATACTATTTAAAAATATATATCTTATTTACCTAATATCTAATTTTCTTACTCAAGATCCCTAATATTTGTCTTCACTGTAGTAAAGCAAAAAATAAAAGTCCAACCTTTATTCCAGGACATTTCTTCAAGATACACTTTTGCATCTATTGGTCCAATATTTCTTAGATCGTCATCTGTAAAATACAAAATCAGACACTTAGTTTTTATACTTTAATCATAACAATGAAGAATGCTGAAAATGCAGCTCTAGCCTGGTTCCTACAATTCTAATACACCTACCAGTGACAAACCTGAGCTCACAACTTTTGACAACTATTTTTCAGGAAAAGGACATTTTTTTTCTCTCGATATATGTAGGCAAGGCAGCAGTTTAGAGTTGGGTAAAAATAACTAACTGAACCTTAGTTGGAATGTTTTACTAGTTTCTAGGTGCCTCAGTGTTCTCATCTTTTAAAACAGGAATTCTCTCTTCCTCATCTATACTTCAGGAAGATGTTCTTCAAATTAAATGAGATTACGCTAAAAGTGCTTTGGAGAAGAAAGCTCTACCCAAATGTTAGAAGGTATCAGTCATCTGATTTTTAATTGCTTGAAAAAGAATGGTTAAGTTCCATTGCTATTTTCTGGGCCACAGTTTTTCCTAGAGATGGAAGGTCCAAAGAAGCATGGAATCCAATCTGAATCCAGTGTCCACGTAGTATAAACATACACTTTGGGATAAATAAAACAGCTACAGATATCAAGCACTGGCCTTTGTTTTTAATAGACATACACTTCCTGAATATGTGAAGTGTTCCTCTAAAGTCAATGCTTAAAAAGGAAGTACTCAAACCCACCCACTACCCCAAGGAAACTGTCTTTAGCTGTCTCACTAGTCTCTTATTCACTTGCTGAGAATGCATCCCTTTGTTCCCTTGTGTGAATGCCTACAATTTAATTATATTTAATAAGTGCCTGTTCAAAACTTATTGGTGAGTTAGACAATTTTATAACAGATGAAAGATTATACAATATTTTGAACTCACCATGATTTTCTATTAAGGTATGTCAAATATTATATCACTTCATTTTTCACTGGGTACCAACAGTCTGTTAGACCTCCCCCAATCCAAAAATAATATAGAACTTGCCCAGTGGTCACATGTAGTTTTTTCATGTCTGTAGGCTCACTGAAGAGCTTATGCAGAATGGATCAGAATGGAACAAAGCAAGTTCCACATTCTATATGAAGTCTAGCTGGCTATATGTTGTTATTCATTTAAACAAAACATTCTACTTAGAAGTCTCGGATGGAGAAATGAATTTTACTATGTATTTAAATTTCTTATTCATCTTATTAGTTATGTCAGAAGGACCAGGGGAGTGAGTTTGAATAAGGAGGTGAAACGCTGGTTTAGATTTGAAGAGTGGCAACCAATTGGCACTTAACAGCTCGTATTTATGACAAAAACCAGTATCATCAACTACCGTTCAAACTCTCTGTAGGTCAGGCTACCTTAAGAATATCACAAGCACTTCTGTAAATAGTTAAAGCAAATTATAAAAGTGAGATAACAAGACTAGTAAGACTTAATCTAAACTATCCTGGTCACCTTATAGAACATTAATTGTACTAAAAGACAACCAATTTATTATATCCATTTGCCATTTTTATTTTTAAATAATGAGAACTTAGTTGGCAGTGCCTGGTGTGGCGCTGTGGATTAATGTGCAGGACTGCAAAGTTGGTTTGAACCGCAAGGTAAGCAGTTCAAGTTCACCAGCTGCTCTTTGGAAACCCTATACAGAGTCGCTATGGTTTGGAGCTGACTCGATGGCACTTAACAACAACTGGCAAATATAACTGTCAACCAAGTCAGATTCTTACTGTTCCTTGGAAAGCTACTGTTATTCCTTAGTTACTGTAACAGCCTGTAATCCTTTCTATTATTCTGCCTACTCCAAAAAAAAGGTAATTTTAGCATTTTTATAATGTTTTCCTCTTTATCTATTAGAAACCCTATACAGGGTCACTATGAGTCGGAGCTGACTCAATGGCACTTAACAACACCATAGGACCTTTAAAAGAGTAACTCTGGTATGGCGCTGTGGGTTAATGCGTCAGACTGCAAAGCCATTTGAATTGCAAGGCTGGCGATTCAAGCTCACCAACTGCTCCTTGGAAACCCTATACAGGGTCACTATGGGTCAGAATCGACTTGGAGGCGTTTAACAACCACCACCTGGTTTTTGGTGAAAACATCAGTTTAGACCCTATTTCCTTATAAATGTTGCTGTTAAGTGCTGACCAGGGTTTCTGAGGAACAGCTAGTGGTCTGAGCCTCCAATATTGCAGTTAGCAGTTCAGTGCTTATTGTACGGTACCACACTGAGACTCTTCCTGGTAAATACATTATACTGGAGTACGTCCACATTCTATAACTTGTGTCTAAAATTTATAAATTGACCTGAGTATACAATACAGTGTGCACAGTCTAAATTTCTGTGGGATTCTGGTTTTAAAAGTCAACTTCTGACACAAAACAGAGCATACTTTATGAGTCTCCATAGATGAAATGTAACTGGCAATTCTACTCTGGAATGGCATAAATGGGGGTAGGGTGAAGGAGGAACTGAAAGGACTCACAAGGGGCCTCTAGGATGTGAATTAAATGGGTGTGTACACATGATCTGAGAACTTCTCTCTCTGTATATTACACCTCAATCAGGAGTTTTAAAAGACAGCACCTGAGACTCTAATGGTTACAATTGTTGTTTTTATTAAGTGTTGCTACGTCAGTTCCAATTCCTAGTGATCCTATATAGGTGTTCCAAGAAGGAAGGAAAGAAAAGTTAGGGGGAAAGAATGAGTCTCATGAGAAAATGTATATTCTCTGAAAGGAAGGTAATCTAACAACTTCTGAAAAAAGGCTAGGGTGATTAACTCTTGGGAAAATTGAGTCCCTGGAGGACTGTATAATGAGCGGGGAGGAGGGGTACATACAAGTAAAAGGTGAATCTAAATGCAGGGTGGGGGGACGACCAAGATCCTTTGTTGAAAGACAGGTGTCCAGGGAATGCGGCAACAGAAACCCTCTCACCCCCCTATTACAAGGAAGGAACACAAACAAATCAATGTGGCATCCCCCCCACCCCTTTCTTTCTGTTTAAACAATGATCTCTGCTTGTCCACTATTGTGGTTATAATTAGAAAACTCAGTTCTTCTCTACCCCCTAAAGTAATCACACTAACCCTGTAATTAGCTTTGATAATTGTCTAGAATCAGGCATGGAATCTGCAAAACAGGTAAGTTAGTTTTCTCTTCTAGTATTACATATTATACATATTTTTTATCATTACAATGAAATGTTATCTACAGGTGTCTGAAAATGCAAAACCTATCTTAAGAGTTCTCCTGTTAGAAAATGACACCACTAAGTACGTTGAGAAAGCATAAACTGACTTAGAAAGTGACTTCATTAAATGAAAAAATCCAAGATTTTAAATCTTGAATCTTACCTACAAAATGGTAATAACTATACCAAACAAACAGAAAACAGCCGTTTGGAAAGAAAAGGCATTGTATGGCATCTGACGTGCTCCAACTTGAGTCCAATGATGCTCCATGAACTCCTGATTCTTTTGAAGTGAGTGGTCTCACATTTTCCTAAGGTATCTGGGAACATAAAGGTCTGTTCACACCCTGTACTGTAAATACAACTTCACCAAATATGAAGGCAAGAGAAACTCTCCCAAATTTGCTTACATATATATAGAAAGCAGTGCATGAGAGTTGATGAAAGATTCCAGAGGAAGAGAATGATAAAATCAAGTAATTTATGTGGTTAAGTTGAAAAAAATCTTTCAATCTTTAGAAGTATCGGCCCTTGTGACCTTGTGCTCTATTGGATTTGTCTGACAACAAGAGGTGAAAGAATTCTGTGGCTCCATTGTCTCAACCAGAGGATCTAAGAAAACACTGGCAGGACTCATCAGAAAGGTTTATGAGCCTGCAATTCAAAGAGATTAAAAGGAAAATCTACTGAGATTCTTTCACACTGAAGAATAACATTAAATAACTATTAGCAGCTTGGTTCAGTAAAGCTTACTAGAGCTCTCGCTGGGTCATTCACATCTTTCTAAAAGAGGAAAGGTTTTTTTCAGCTCCATTTGGGAATCAATAAATATTTCTTACTCCTTACAAGACAATAGAATTCCAGTCTTTTTAAACTTCCTCCTAATGATAGTACAATTCCTAAACCAACTCTTTGTTTGCTGCTTAAATAATTACACTTCCTAATCCCAGGAAACCCTTTCTAACTGTAGCTGCAATTCCAAAATAATTAAAAAAAAAAAAAACTTTAAAAAGCAACCAAAAAAAAAAAAGAGGAAAGGAAAACTGAACTGTATTCACTGTAGCTGAGCTATCTAAGTCTCATTAAATCCAACACTGTCAGAAAGATGGGAGTCCACCTGCAGCTGTGCTGAGACTCTTCGTGAGCAGCAGACACGTTAGTCAAGAGATCGATAAATCCCCAGAAGGCTCACATTTAGTACTCAGTCCACTCAAGCTATTTTTAGCTAAATAGAATAGAAGCTGTTTCAGATGCTTAACGTTTATTTCAAACTTAAAGAAAGTAGGAAAGAGGAGTGGTTTCTTTCAGCTCGACCTCAGTACCTTGCTGCTTTAAAACCAAAGAATTTAAACAATCACTACATTTTCAGAAACCATCCTATGATTCATAATAAAATTTTTCATGAGAAGTTACTTGAAAATAATAATTCGCCTCCTCTTTTAACATGTCTGTCCTTTAAAATTTAAGAGATTCAAAATAAGGGATCATTTTACTTGAAACTTCTTCATTAAATCACTGTTGTTGTGGAGTGCCATCAAGTCAATAGAGATTCATAACGATCCTGGATAGGGTTTCCAAGGAGCTGCAGGTGGGTTTGAACCACAGACCTTACAGTTAACAGTCCAGTGCTTATTCTACAATGCCATACCAGGACTCTCAATAGACCATAAAGCCCTGTAATCCTCTCCTAGATGAAACTAAAGAGTCAGAATTACACTGCCCATAATTGAAGAAAAAAAACAATTTGTAGTGTAAGTATGAATTTAAGTAAGACTCAGGAACTTTTATAAACTGCGTATGAACCAAATGAAACTCCAGAAATTGAATGAATTCCCTT